ATTCTCTCCACGGTGTTGAGGTTGATGCAGACGTTCCGTAACCAGACGCATCGACCCTTTTCTGTTTGTTTTGTTTCCGTGTTTAAGGTGAGCTGATCCGTTACTATCATTCTTTTTGTGTTCAGTGTAAATTAGTCGGTTTCTTCATTACTTCCTCCCCGTTACCTCAGATGGTAGATAATCCTAAATGTAACCGGTATGACAAGGAAAACCAAAACACTGTGAAGAATGCTGTGCATCAAGTCCGCTGCTCGCTGCTCGCCAAAAGCACTGACGAAGGCAATTCTTAAAAAGTCTGAGCAAATGATCCCTAATTAGATCATTGCTTTTGAAGGGAGGGGCCTGAGGGTGTTGCCTGTTCTTTCAGGTTGTCAGGTGACTTTTAACAACACAGCAGATTCCTCCTGACACCTGACATCCTGGTTTGATCTCTTTTATATTGAACCTTAATGAAGCGCTTCTCTTACATAACACACATTTAACGACACACGCCCGCACACTGAGCCAACGAGCAGAGGTTGGTGTTCCAAACTGAAGGCCAAATTTAGCTTTAATCTACAAACTGTGGCTGCAAATTTGATTATCTGCAGCTTCAGACTCATTTCAACATCAACAACTTGCTGCTCAAGCTTCAGTCAAAGATATGGATTAAGTGTTAGTTGTAGTTTTTGCAGATCGTGTTATTCCTTTAAAGCTTGTGCTTTAAGTGTGAGAAGATTCAGTGATGACAAACTAAGTCGGATGTGAGTGATGGAGTTCCCCGTGTGTCACACTTTGTGTTATTTTAAAGGATTAGTGGCCTTTTGTTTCTCCGTGTACTGAGATAAACCAACATGCTCGCTGCCCTCTAAGACTGTTTGTAGGTACAGCAGAGCCCTGAGCTAAGTTCACATTGACAGCGCAAACTAGCTGATGTTTATACAGCCGAAGCCCAGAGGTTTTGCAGATATTTTGTCATAAGTAACTGTAGGGTTCATCTTCTGGGCACCACGAATGTCTGTGCAGTGTTTTATAGCAATCCTTCAGATACTTTTAGCAATTCAGAATGATGGACTGACCAACAGAGACGCTGCTGTCCTGAGCTGCACCGCTAGTGGACTAAAAAATACATTAAGACAACAAAGTCAGGCGAAAAAAAAAGAAAAAAAGGCACAATATTCTCTGAACATGGATCAGCCACAACATTAAAACCACTAACAGGTCACGTAATGACATTGACCATCTTCAGTTCACCTCAGACAGCTTCATACGGAAGCCGAGAGCGGTCGTTTTCCGCTACTGTTCTTTCTTCGCCGTTTTCTCGAGATAACGAGTTAATTTTCTCGTTATCTCGGGATAACAAGAATCGTTTTCTCGTGAAAACGAGATAATTTATCTCGAGAAAACCAACTTCGTTTTCTCGAGATAACAAGATAATTGGTGTTTGTGTTTGCCCGCTCGTGCCCAGTCCAGGATGGAATCCCAGGTGTGTGGGAGGTCCCACACACCTGGAAGTCCGACAACTTCTGATGAAGGCTGAAGTGACAGCCGAACCTGTCAACGGGATAATTATCTCGTTATCTCAAGAAAATGTAGTTTAAAAAAATGTGCGGCCATGACCGCTCTCGGCTTCTGTAGCTTTATTAATCCCAACTTGGGCGATTTATTTGAGGCAGCTTGTTGCAGGTCACACAAAACACTCATAAAGTTATGTGTACATGTCCACATGTATTGTTTCTCCCGGTATTCCCACCCTTGAATAAGATAAACACGCTGCTGGGTTGTCCGTACATTTACTGCTGTTAAAAATAATGAGAATGAAATTGCATCAGTCTAATAGAGCTGACTCAGCATGGGTGGAGACACCTTAATCCTCTCCCCCCAAAGGAAGACGCACAATGCAACAGGTTCTTTGTAAATAGATTGTAAGTTTAAACCTTGTGGTAAGAAGCCTTGAGGTCATCTTTCCAACGACAAAACCATTTTAGGGGTATCTCCTCTGGTTGACCTCAGATCTTGACCTTGTTGCCCCTGAGGTTACTCTTGTATAATTAGGATATTAAAAAAAAGTGACTTAACCTAAGAGCTCCTGAGGTTCAGTGTTGCATTGCTGCCGAGAAAGTATTTTAAAGGCTAATAGCAGAAGGAATAAATGATTTGGAGCACACGCAGGTAAAGTAAATGGCAGATGGCCGCAGAAAGAATTCATCCTCTAAGAACAGGACAAGGAGAAGCTAAAGTTCTTGGATTCTGGCTTCATTGCTTCACTCCACTGGTCTTAGACCAAATTTTATCAATGCTCCATCTTGTTCAATGTCCTGCTAGGAAACCACTGTAGCACCCCATCATGGCAGCAGCTTCTGCCAATAAGCCTTAATGTGCTGCTCAGGAACCACTGGAGGAACACGACCAAGAGCCCAAGGTGTTGACCCAACCTCCAAACCCATTAGATCCCATTTTGATCTGTTATCTGTTGAATGTTCTGGGAATAAGCTGATCCAACGAGACGTCAACCCCTAAAACCTGCTGCCAATGTTTCAGTGCCAAAAACACCACTAGACTCAAGTCCATGTCCACAACGTTAGTCAAGTGGTTTTAATGTTTTGGCTGACTAATGTAGACACACAAGTGAACTTCAGAACCTTGTGGATTCATAAAACAGCCTCAAATCCCCTTCATAACATCTTCATTTAGAGATTTCATACGTCCGAAACAGCTTTACCTCAAGGAAACCAGAGTCCTTATCGCTCATATGGATGAAACGTAGCACACCGGACCAGATCACCACGTCCCTGTCAGGCTGTTGGAGGCGATCGTGACTCTTTTTTGGTGAGAGTTCAAACTGTCTTTCAGAGCTCGTCACACTTGACAGTTGTCCTGGCTGCCTGACAGATTTTCATTTCTGCAGTGAAGTTATTTCCTCGTGACAGTTGAATGCATGACAGGAGGCTTCAGGAACTCTGCAGGTTAAACAGGGTTAACCAACCACTTCAATGGCTGACTGGCAAGGACTCTGGATACACCTAAAGACATCCAACAAGCCATAAATCAGCACTCTGTGATAAAGTCTCGCTCATATTGGTGATATTAGATGCTTCCGAGGAAATTTATCGTCTAAAATTCAGGCCAGTGCAGTAGTTTGGTTGCTTGGCGACTCGTCACCTCTTTATGTTGTTTACGTCTTCACTGTGCATCCACATCACACACTTAAATACACCTTCACTGTTTTCTGTACGGGTTGTTGAATTTCTGCCCTCCTGCCTGATCTCAGACCAGCTAATCGGACACAAACCGAACACCGCAGCAGCTTCCAGCCTCTAATTGTGTTTGGTGAGCTGCAAGACTCAAAGCTCAGCGAACATCAGTCAGTCGCTATCAGCAGACGGCAGATAGACTCGTTAGAATGTCTCATGAGGGTTAATGGTGGCCTCAGCTGCATCTGTGCAGTGGTGTGAGGAACTTGTTGTTTTTCTTTGTTTTAGCATGTATGTTGTAAAAATATATATAACTATGCTATATTTTCTTGAACAATTTACAGTTAGTTTACAGATTGGCCCTGATTTGTTGAATTGCAGAGAGTAACTATTTAACAAATTATACAAAGAGAGGCCTAAAGGGTAAGTAACGTCGACATCCAAGATCTGTATTTTTATAAATAATCGTTTGTAATCACATGTTTATTCTGTATTGAAATTAGGAGGAAAAAGTGCTATTATTTCAGAGGAAAAAAAATAAGTATATTAAAGATTGACAAATAGTTTTTAAAAACTAAAACAAACAAACAAAAAAGGCGCCAATTTATAGATTTCCCCAGTTTTGTTAAGTTACAGATTTGAACTTTTAAGTAAAATTACACACTTATTTTCAGTGGTAATTCATTCTTTTACAGTGTTTGACCATAAAATGAGATTCTTTTCACTATATTTAAATATTGGTAGAATATTGTCATTTTGTCAATGTTTTCTGTAATTTGAAAGAAAAAATATATATTAAGGATTTTTTTAAAAAGATAAATCCTTCATTGTTATTTCAGTTTTTCTGTTTTTCTAAATCCCAGATAATATCTAGTAAAACAAAAAAAAAAAACAAAAGAAAAGGAAATTATTAACATGCAAAAACACACTTGCTGTAAATCCTTTATATAGACCACAAAAAATATGTATATATTTTTAAAAGCAGAAATTCAGTCTTTTATCATGTTTGACCATAAAATTACACTATTTTAACTATATTTAAATCAGCAGAACATATAGTTATTCTACCAATATTTTCTGATATATTAAGGACTGAAAAATGATAAATAAATTACTGTTATTTTACTTTAACTGTTTTACAAAATCACAGATAATATTCAATAAGATAACATGAAATAGTACTTATTTACATGTTGACTGTACAAACAAACAAACAAACAATAAACAAATTAAAACAGACTTAAACAGCACACAATGTCCACATGAAGAATCTGTAGTTTTACACGTGGTAATTTATCCTTTTACAATGTTTAACCATAAAATTACACATAATAGTAAACCTATATTTAAATAAGCAAAACAATAGTAATGATAATTGTATACCAGAGTTTTTTTTTTTTTTTTAGCTTAATTGTTAATTTACAGGTTTGTTTGTTTTTTTTACAAGTATTTGTTGTTATTTATTTATTCAAATTATTATTTTTTTTAATGTTACAGTATTCCACCATTTTTATTGTATTTTTGCAGCTAGATTACTTTTCTTAGGACAGAATAGGCTGATTTAGATCCAGTATTTTACGTCTGTGTTTCCGTAAAGCGCTCCAGTTTCGTTTTCCACAGACGATAAACAAGAACGTTTCAATCGGATTGTTAAGATTCTGATTTTATCTGATGATGAAAACATCAGTGAGGATGTAATGGAAACACGAATGACCACACCTTCCACTGCAGGAAGCCTTTGACATGTAAATGTCAGGTAGAACACGTGTTCTCGTGTCGTCAGCAGGTTTTAGTTAAATAGCACAAACAGGTTCAGACAAGTCAAACTCCGGCTGCATCGTCTTCACACTTCACAGCACCTGAAGGCACCACCAAGTAAGTCTGAGGGTTTTTTGTATTTAAAAAAAAAAAAAGAAGAAAGATAATTAGATACAGTTCTGATCACCAGAAATTCAGAAAATCCATCAGGAAGCTTTAAAATTTCTGTCAAGGAGCGTTTATACACGGTTTAAAAACTGAATCAGGTTTGATGTTATACTGCAAACATCAGGCTGAAAGTAAAACATTTGGATATTTGTGCCAAAAAATTCTGATAAAATATAGTTAAAATGCTTTTTAACAATCTGCTGGAATTAATAATGCTTCAGTTGCGGATTAAACAAAAGTAAAATATACAAAAGAGGAAAGAAAACAAAATAAAAAAGAAGATATATGGAAACGTTAAATTCAATTAAGCACAAAAATCTGACATTACAAGTGTATAATAAATGCAAAGAAACACATTTAGTATGATAAATAAATGAGAAATAATGAGAAAAAGTTGTGCGTTAACAGTGCAATTAGAGTCAGTTTAAAATGTGCATTTAAACTACTTAACATATATATATATATATATATATTACAAACACATAAGGACATTTTTCCTCATTTTCAAGTTAAGAAAGAAAAAATTTAGACAGATTTCTGAAGGTTCAGTTTCAGTAAATAATAAATGAAACCTGTACAATACAACAATGCTCATTTCTACTCCCGAGTCACCATTTCCAAACTGATTTGTCCTCCTAATGTCTTTTGTTCGTAGTTATTTACTAGCGGTTGTGACGTTCCATCTGCTGAAGTGTTTCAAGCCCTGCAGGTTTTTTTTTTTGTCAAGCTAAACATAAAACCAGCTGGGCTGCTCAGCTGGTTGGAATGGCAAAATAACAGGCTGTAACTGAAATGACTCTGCGTATACTCTGAACTGTATTCACCATCTGCTAAACGTGCGTAAAAATATCCAAATATCTAGAACGTCCAGCAGCGGTGTGTTCACTATTATATGCAAATATGTCAACAGCTGACGGACATAAAGGGATGATTAAGAGAAAGAATGAGGAAGTACGTTATTACTATTATTATTATTATTATTATTATTATTATTATTATTATTATTATTATGATTTAATAATTATAACGATGACATCATTGCTATGTGGATTTATTACATAAGAGTGGAGAAGAAGAATTTTAATTACCAGGTTTGTAATTATCAGTCATCAGGTAAGGACAGAAAGAACAAAAGAAAGAAAGTTGCACGTTATGTTCCGTGTTAACAAAGCAGGAACGTTGTCAAATCGTTGTCAAACAAAATGTTTTACAGATGTTATCGAGGCCTCATGCTATTTTAAGGGTGCAACATTCTCTGCAGCGTTCTAAAGATCTTTGCAGAACACATAATTGAATTTCCCTTCTGGGATAAATGAAGTATTTTTCATTTCATTATGGAGCGTTCTTCTATGAAACATTCTCCTGATGCTCTACGGCAACAAAGAAGAACGTTCTCAAATCAGTCCTGACAAAATGTTCTCCAGATGTTCCTGTAATGTGATTCATTAACAAAGGTGGAACATTCCACCTGCAATGTTTGTCTTTCTGGGATGATTTTAAGGGAACACATCGTAGAATGTTCCTCTACAAAACGTTCTCACAAAGTTCCATGATAATGAAGGAAGAACGTTCTCTAACTAGCATTCAAAAAATGGATTCCAGATGTTATTGAGGCCTCAGAGGATTTTTTAGAAAATGTTCCTGGAATGTGATGTAGGAACAAAGATGGAACATGTTGCCTGCAGTGTTCTGAGGGAACCTATTATAGAATGTTTTTCTGCACAGCATTCTCTCTATGATAACAAAGGAACATTATTATCAAACTAATACTGAAAAAAATGTTCTTAGGATGTTCCTGGAGACCCAGATGGCAGAACGTTCTTTATGACATGTTCCTACATTCTACCTGAAATGTTCTAAAGATGTTTTGAGGAACACAGTATAGAATGTTCACAATGTTCTATGATAACAAAGGAAAAATGTTCTAAATATGTTTTGAAGAACAAAATGTTTTATAGAAGAACATTCTATAAAACATTCTCATAGTGGTCTATGCGAACAAAGGAAGAACGTTCTTCCTTTTCCAGATGTTTTTAAGACTTCAGATGACAGAACCTTCTTTGTTAAGCTTTGTCATCATGTCATAAATGAACACAGGTGGAACGTTCCTTCTGCAGTGTTCTGAGGATGTTTTGGGGATGTTGTTGAGGCAATACCGTGTAGCATCTATGAGACGTTACCAAAGGAACAAATGAAGGATGTTCTCAGTGCAACATTAAGAAAAACGCTTTTTGAAATGTTATCAAGAGCTCAGATGACAGAATGTTTTTATGTTTAAATGTACAAAATGTTCCCACAATGCTCCACAGACAAACATTTTTAGAACGTTTTTATTTGTCCTACCTTTAAGAAGAACATTTGGGGGCTGACAAAAAGTTAAAATCCAAATGAAAACATGAGTACGACCTTGTAGAACTTTTTTAAAAATGTTTTTGGAACAGAAAATGTTCTAAGGTGGTGTAAAACACAGAGAGAACAAACACTAACGGTGTAATCCTCTCTGACTGAAGGTGACCATGGCGTCGGTGTCGCTCAGTTCTCGCCTCAACAAGGCCGTCCGGCAGCAGTACATGAACCTGCCTCAGGGAGGGAAGTGTCAGGTCACCTACATCTGGATCGACGGCACCGGAGAGGGACTCCGCAACAAGACCAGGACTCTGGACACAGAGCCTCAGTCCATAGAAGGTAAATCAGCCCCTTCTTTAATGATTTATAACCTCTGGTGGACTAAAACTGAACATTTTACACAGCTTTGAAGTCTAAGCAAATTTTTCACCATTTAATTCTGTATTCTGAAAGAACTTTTCTGATCAAGAAAAGGTTTGCGAGGTGAAACTCGTTCATTTGACCCTCCGTTCTGCTCTTTTGTGAGCACTCTAAGGTGTTAATGGTGATTTTAGAAGGTTATTTAAGATGCATGCCTCCTAATGGAGCAAATGAGGGTAAATCTGGGGCACTGAATCCAATTAATAAGGGTTGAGTGTGTAGATTACAGCATTTGAAAATCTATTGAAGTAATGTTTGTTGACCAATACAACAACACACGTCACACCTACACTGTACACAACGTTGGTGTAACGTGTCGCCTTTAAAGCTGCAGGACAAATATTTGTTGTTCAGCACACCGGCTCAGTTTGGAGTCACTGTTGGTAAATGTACAAGGCTTGATTGTTTTTAAACGAAGCTGCACTCATCAATATTGTCTGTTTATAATCTGACATTTTGCAAAGTGTGTTCATTCACTTTCTTGCTTGTACAGTAAATATGAAGCTACGTCCACAGGCTATTTAGTTTAGTTTAGCAAGAACAGGGTGAGCAGCAGAAACAGCTAGAATCCTTCTTTCTTTCTTCGATTATAAGTTACGCTCGTGAAGCCACTGAACATATTATGGAAACATACCTAGATCCATATATATCCATATATATATATTTCTTTATATTTTGAGTTGTTAATTGTGTTTTCCTTTACATAAATAGAGACATTTCCACCATAAGATGAAGCAGAAAAGGGACAAATTGGTGCATAAATTTGCCAGAATGCAGAAAATAAAGTGTTTAATGTTAAAGAATTCTTTCTTTCTTGTTTATTTTTCCATTTTTTCTTCTTCTCCTTATTCAGTGAACTTGACAGGATCTCAGTAGGCAGACTACACATGCATTCAAACCCTCTTTGAGTACAAATCATGCTCATACAACCACTGAATCTATGTGACTAGATCCACATTTATCCCTTTATGCTTTGACTTGTCATCTGGTGCCTGAATCTTGTGTTTTCATTTACATAAATAACGACATTTCCACCATAATTTGATGCAGAAAAGGCACAACTTGGTGCATAAATTGGGCAGAATCTATGCCCATAGCAATCTCCAAAACTAGCAGTTTTCATCCAACAAAAAACAGGCAGTTGTTCCATTTTTTTGCAGTTTCCATTGAGGTGTTTCAACCTTTAGTGAAGACGTTTGTACGTTTAGTAAATAAGTCACTTCTTCTGGGCACCAAGTGCAAACTACATATGAAAGTTTGTCACAAATCTGTTGTCTGTTTAGACGACCTGTTTTGCAGAAATCTTATTGGTTATCTGTCTCCTGTCAGATATTCCTGAGTGGAACTTCGACGGCTCGAGCACCTACCAGGCCGAAGGCTCCAACAGCGACATGTACCTCATTCCAGTCTGCATGTTCAGGGATCCGTTCACCCTCGACCCCAACAAACTGGTTCTCTGCGAGGTCCTCAAATACAACCGCTTGCCTGCAGGTATGCTTCTCACTTTTCTGTTCAAGTCTTGTTCTTTGACGTCTGGAGGAACAAGGCTGGATGGTGGATTTTGTCTTTTCTGTTGTAGAAACGAACCATCGAGCAAAGTGCAGCAAGGTGATGGAGCAGGTCAAAGAGGACTGCATCTGGTTCGGTATGGAGCAGGAGTACACGCTTTTAGGAACAGACGGACATCCTTTCAGTTGGCCTCCAAATGGATACCCAGCACCCCAAGGTGAACCACCCGCCACTGTTGTCTCTATTATGTGCAATTTATTAATGTTAAGTACTGAAAAATGGTCCTGATGTTTCATAAGGTATTCTTTATAACGCCTTAAACTATTTGAGCAATGACAAACCACTAATTAAAAGAACCTGTGGGTTGCCAGGTTCTGAGAAATCCTTTGGCTGCACACCATTTGCAGTTCAAACAGATATATTTATTAGTACTGTATTTACTCAATTCAACTAATTACTGATGTAAAACGATCATTAGATAACAGATCACCAACACTTTCTTCATTTTAGACCCCATTAGCCATTTCTTTAAAAAAAAGTCACTGGGTTCAAATTGATGGGCTAAGAACCCATGATGTGCAGAAATAAGATAAGTTAAGTTAAGTTAAGTTAAGCTAAGCTAAGCTAAGCTAAGTCAAGTCAAGTCAAGTCAAGTCAAGTCAAGTCAAGTCAAGTCAAGTCAAGTCGAGTCGAGTCGAGTCGAGTCGAGTCGAGTTGAGATGAGATGAGATACAAAAGAAACATAGTAAGGAACAAAACCAGAATGTTCAATAGGGATATAATAAAGACTATGTACACCTTTTGCATGTACAGCTATGACGATGGATATACAAATACATATCTATGGATATGTTTGTAATTTCTATAATTACCCGACAAGACAGCTTCATATCACAAGTAGCCAAGTAGATATAAAGTTTGGGAATTAACCTATGAATTCTACAGCTATCAGTGTTTTTACAAACTGGCAACCCAAATCTTTAGCTCTCTCCCGACCTCTTTATACATCATTATTATTATTATTATTATAAAGTGCAACAGAAATGAATACGTGGATTTGTCAAGTTATTCGAAACACAATCTACTGTATGTTTTGCACAGTTTTTGCTTGTCCTTTGTCTCACCAGTCTTTCCTTTCTTCCCCCACTTTCAGGCCCTTACTACTGTGGTGTGGGAGCAGACAAAGCCTATGGACGGGACATTGTGGAGTGTCACTACAAGGCCTGCCTCTACGCCGGGGTGAAAATCTACGGCACCAACGCTGAAGTCATGCCGTCTCAGGTAAGTGTCATCTAGTGTCATGGAAAGAAACAGCACTCATAGTGGCTGAATTATGCATTCAAAGTTCAACATGTTCCTGCTTTCTGTTGACTTCAGTGGGAGTTCCAGGTGGGTCCCTGCGAAGGCATCGAGATGGGCGACCACCTGTGGGTCGCTCGCTTCCTGCTGCATCGTGTGTGTGAAGATTTTGGGGTTGTGGCCACGATGGACCCCAAACCGATGATGGGCAACTGGAACGGAGCCGGATGCCACACGAACGTCAGCACCAAGCAGATGAGGGAGGAAGGAGGACTGAAGTGAGTAAAGCTTCACAGCAAAAACTTTTTATGGAAAAGTATTTAAATATCCACTGACGTGTCAGTAGCCCGTCTCGTCATCACTGTCGTCCAAAGTTTGCTCCAAATTAATGCTCAAAGAACATTTCTGCAGCTCTGTTTTCCAAGAAACATCTAATCAAAAAAAAATCATGAAGCGATCTAGAAGAATTAAAAGAAATTTTTTCTCTCTGCAACATTTTTTTTAATTAAAGGATCTTTTTTTCTTTTACCACTAAGTTTTCAAAATGATTTTTTAAACAACATTTTGTAATTCATTCTTTTTTTAACATTTGACTGTTAAATGACACTTCTTTTTTTTTTTTTAGTGTATTTAAATCTACACAAAGTATCCTGGTTTTACCAATATTTGCTGTTATTTTTACCATTTTTTGTTTGTTTGTTTTTAGCCATTACAGTATTCCACTATTTTTTATTTACATTTTCTGGCAACTTTGCTGCCAGATTTTTTAAATTTCTTTTTTACAGAATTATTTTTACAGTGCAGTTTGTGTATTGATGACAGTCTCGATAACATTCACATCAGATTCAGACTTTCAGGGTTTCATTTGTAGAAAAAAAACCCTGAACCAATCCTTTGAACTTGTAAACAAACAACCTGTAAACAACAGTGTAGAGCTACATGTTGGTCATTTTAAGGCAGGAGGGGATTATTTTCATGGGGAAAAAATCTGAAATATGGATCTTAGCTACCTACAGATGAGTTTTTTAAGTGTTAAATCGATGATCGAAGTGGAGTTTTAACAATTATTTACATGAATGTTTTTTGTAGCAATAAATCAACAGATAATTATCGCAAGTGCTGCAGCTTTATAGAAACTTTGAGACCATTGATTTGTTTTTCCAGTTTTCACTTTTGCTGTTTTGGTTCACTCTCACTGCCCAGCACTACCTCTCCAGCACCAAACGACAGACAAAACTGAACTAAATGTTCTTCTGCTGCCCTAAAATTGAAAGCTTTAAGCAGATTGTACGAGGTTTCAGTGGCAGGATGGTATGAGGACAAGGTCACAGACGTTTGTGAGGAATCTGGAAGGTTTTTAAACATATTTCCAGCATTTTCAAGTAGTCCTCTTCTTATATCAACACAATTTTAGCTACTGAGTGCCTTCCCTCCATAGCCTTATCCAACCTCCCTTTGTTTGGACGACAGGTACATCGAGGAGGCCATCGAGAAACTTGGCAAAAGACACGCCGAGCACATTCGAGTGTACGACCCCCGTGGTGGCGAGGACAACATGAGGCGTCTCACAGGTCGCCACGAAACCGCCAACATCAACGACTTCTCTGCCGGAGTGGCCAACCGGGGCGCCAGCGTCCGGATCCCCCGACAGGTGGGCCAGGAGATGAGGGGCTACTTCGAGGACCGGCGGCCTGCAGCCAACTGCGACCCCTACTCAGTGACGGGAGCCATCGCCAGCACCTGCCTGCTGGAGGTGAAAGAGGAGCCTGAGGCCTAAAATAGCTGCTCGTAGCCACACAAACCTGTCTGTGAGTTTACCTAAGCCGGGAGAAGAAGCTCCACACAAGGTGAAGAAATGAAGGCTAACGCAGAGTGAATGTCTGCTGCTGCACCGTTTGTTATTTATCTGAGTTTATTCATGTGCACAGGCAGCTGCTGTGTCTAGTAGCTGTTGTTAGAAATAAGAAACTGATAGGATTTTTATTTTTTAACAGCAGATTCGTCAGACCTGGAAGTAGATGTTTGAATGTTACGCTGCATTAAATTATTGATCATTGTTTCTTAGAGCGTGTGTTACATGTGTTAGTTTGGGAGAAGTGAAATAAAGATGCAACAGTGCTGAAGTCTCTGAAGTGCTCGTTTATTAATTTATTTATTCATTCAACCTTTATTTAAATCTTAGTCTCTCTGATGGTGTTCTATTCCCTCTAACGGTGAAATGAGGCCACTGTAGAAACAAACAAACAAAAGAAACCTCGACTAAAAAAACAGAAAAAGTATAAATTTAGTAAATTTAAACTGTGAAAAACTAAATAATGTCCAAATCCAAAATCTTTGTTTTTTTTGACAAATGAAATTTTTTCCTGTTGCAATTTAATGTTCGGCTGTAAAATGACATGATGATGTGTGTTTATGTATTGCTAAATGATTTCATTAAAAAAAATAAAATCATATTAACATATAACATATATATATATATATATATAGGGCTGCAAAGTGGATCGGGGGTTAGAATCGCTGCCTCGCAGCAAGAAGTTCGCTGGTTCACGTCCCGGTGAGGATACCCGGGAGTTTGCATGTTCTCCTGTGTAGTGTGGGTTCTCTGGGTTCCTCCAACATGGTCCAAAAACATCCATCCATTATCGATACACCGCTTAATCCTCACTAGGGTCATGGGGGGCTGGAGCCTATCCCAGCCGTCCTAGGGTGAAGACAGGGGACACCTTGGACAGGTCACCAGTCTATCACAGGGCTACACTTAGAGACAGACAACCAAGCACACTCACATTCACACCTACAGACAATTTAGAATCACCAATTAACCTCAACATGTTTTTGGACTGTGTGGGAGGAAGCCGGAGAACCCCGAGAGAACCCACGCTGCACGGGGAGAACATGCAAACTCCACACAGAAAGATCCCGTGTGTCCTCACCGGGATGCAAACCGACAACCTTCTAGCTGTGAGGCGATGATGCTAACCACCCTGCAGTCCCATTTTTATATGTGATTAATATTTTTTAGATATACACAATTATGCAATTATGTATATTTTTAAACTTGTCTTTTCACATGTCTTTAGCAGTGCTACAGCACATGTTTCAGTCCTCTTGTTTAACAGAATTAGTAACAAACAATTTTTGTTGTTTGGTCCTTTTATTCATATTATGATTGATTTTGAAACAGTGTCCTGTTATAATATCAGTAGAGTGGTCTTAGTTCTACATAAAACACATTAGAACAGGTGTATTTGTTTGGTTTTGTCACTAACTTGTTGTCTTTATTGTGTTATTCCACTGATATGATAATTCTCTGCTGAACTTCCATCAAAGCCTCATGAACAGATGTAAACTGACACAAAAAAAGCTTCTTGTCGTCGTTCACTAGGTGGAGCCACTGCAGCAGTCGTCACATTTCAGTGTCTCACCACGACTCCTCAGCAGAACCAGGCTGAAGCTCAGCAGTCAGAGCAACACGACAAAAGGTCAAAGAGTCACGCAGCTTCGTTAGCTTCTTTATTTGGACTGATGCAGAATTAAACGACCAATCAGACGTTTGCAGGCAGAAAACCACCGAACGAGGCTGAGTAGTCACGCCGCCCACAGCACTGGCTCCCATCCACTCCCGTCTGATGCCCAACACACCTGACATATGGTGCGAACATCTCATCCTGTTACTTCCTGACACTCGATCCTCTCGTTGCCAGAGTGACTCATTATTCAAGCTGTTGGAGGGAAGCGTTGTGCAGCATGAGTAAACAACAAACAACAACAACAACAGAAAGAAAAACTGAAGGATTCTTTAGACCCGATCAGATGCCACTACACACCAGATTGCCATGGATACGGGCAGTAACTTGGCAACCGTGGTGTTTGTCTGTCGTCATGGAAACATCTGTCTTTTTTACCAGCAATACGGGCAGCCTGGAGAGACGGTGACAGACAGACAGAGAGAGAGAGTCTGTATGCTGGATGTCACTGTGGCGGTGGAGTGAATGCAACAAAATAAAAAGCTGGACGATGCAGCTGAACCGTTTTTATTTCTCTGTGAGGGTTTAATGCGCAGAGTTTTACATGTGCAGCTCCAAGCGCTGATGCTGCACAACGACACAGGAAGCACCTTCAAAGACCGGAAGTGAGAAACCAGAAACCTGTGAGAAACGGGAAAGACTCTGAAGCGTTTCAATGCTAAATTATGTTGATGTGGTTAAAGTTTGCTGGGGTTAAAAAAATGGCAGCAGCTGAACTGGTCTGAGAGTGTAGTGCTGATTTGATCCCACAACCTTTGTACAACCTGCTTTCAATCAGACACCAAAAATGACAAAATAGTCTTTTTGTTTTTATTAATTTTGCTCTTTTTGATTTATTTTGTTGTCTCATTGTTAAGTCTCACGCCTTTTAGCGTTGTTATATATAGTTTTTACTGATATGTGTTCACATATTCTTCTTTTAATTAGATTTTATTGTGTTTATGAACCTCAGCACTGTTGAAAATGAAGTTTGTTGCTCAACATGTTCTCCAAAGTTTTAAATGAATGAATGAATCAAGCAAATGAATTAAAATCAGTGCTGCTGATTCTCCGTTATAAAAATATTGTGCGTAAATTCAGACGTTTTCAGACGACACTTTAAGCAACACGTGTTTTTATACTCAACAAGGTAAGAAAAAATAATCTTGTTAAAAACTTTAAAAATTAAAAAATAAAGTGAAGTATTGTTACATTCAAAAATTGTAAATAACAATAATAATACTAATAATAATAATGATAATAATAACAGAAAATGACTAGAAATTAACAACATTTTAGCTGATTTTAATAAAGTATAAATTGTTTAATTTTATGGTCAAACATTGAAAAGAACAAACGTCTACTTGCAACAATAAGGACTTTCTATGGCCTGTTTATTTTATTTTTTATTTACAGTTAAAGGGTAAATTATTACTTTTTTTGTGATTTTACTAGTTTTTACCTGTAATTTAGCAAAACAAGGGAAAATATGTAAAATAACAGTAAATTGTTTAAAAAAAAAAAAAAAAAAGTCATAGTTAGACATGATTTCTTTGCAGTGTAGAAGTGCATTTACTGATAGAACTTCAGTGCAGAGTTTGTTCCTCTGTTTAGCTGCACTTGTACCAGCGAGTTCGCTCATCGGCCAAACTGGGCGACGACAAGAAAGTCCTAAAACTTTACTGCTTCACTAACTCTGACTTGAAGAGGGGCAGTTTAAGCCTCACATACCTGCTGCTTGTTCCTAAATTACTGAGGATGTGGACAGAGGTGGAGCAGCTCTTGTGTTGCCCCGGGTCACCCTGTCAGGTCAAACCCAGTGGGGGTAAGACAAGAAGCTGATGAGGTTTGATGTGGGCTGGAGGTGCTTCTGCTGCACTTTACATGAAACGGTGAAGAATGTACATCTTCAGACAAACTTCCTCAGAGAGCGAGCAGCAACATCCTTTCTGGAAAGTACCGTCGAGTCAGACATCAGGCTGAAGCTGCAGCGTGCTGATGGATTTACAGTCACAGCTAGACCATGTAGGGATAAGACTGTGGAAGACTGAAGGGTCAACAAACTGGGCACTGAATGAACTAGTTGGTGATGAGAAACTTCAGTCATGTTTAAACCCTAAAAACATACATTTTTTATCATATTCACACATCAGTATGGTGTTGTTTTATAGGAAGACATGTAATGAGTTAAACAAGCATTTACACTCTGTTAGTTTACATGTTTATTTTCCCAGTTTTGGTTAAAAAAAAAAAAAAAAGAATAAATTCTAACTAGAATGATGTTTTTGTTTTTCAAACAGTAATTTGTTATTTTACAACATTTGGCCATAAAATTACAGCACTTTTTCCTCTGCATTTAAAAATATACATATATTACAAAAATGATCTTATATTTTACATGTTGTCCCTGCTGTTAAATTATAAATATCATCTTGTACAATTACAGAAATAATATGTTGTTCTTTTTCAGGGTTGTAACTTTGAAATCACTGTGTTTTAGTGTGTTTAAATCAGCTATAATGTTATTATTTAGCAGAGATTTTCACTGTTTTTATTCCATGTCTTTTCAAGATAAATAATTTTTCTTTCTAATCTGTTTGACAGACTGGACTCTGTCACACATTGCTGCCTTTAGATAAACATTCCCATCCATAAATATCCAACGCGTCCTTTATCTGTCATTGTTTCAGGTGTTTTAGTGCAAAAAGTTTATTTATTTATTTATTTATTTTTATTGTAAAACTGGATTTTTTAAGTTTTAATGTTGGTACATGTACACAGTCAGCAGTAGTGTTCTACATTTTAATCATAGAAAATATGATATATTACATGTAAAACAATATAAATAGAGCTAATTATTGGAAAGCCTGGTTTATACAGAGTCGTGTAATCAGCAATAGAGTCATTAACTGAGTTGTAACACTGTAAAAAACACACAATATATACATTTTACAGAATTATTTTTAACAGTGTACGACTGAATGACTCCAATATCACAGTTTGCGATTAACCTCTTATGACCTGAGCTCTTATTTGATATGCATTTTTATAGATAAAAAAAATAAGAAATAAAGAAAATAAAGAAATAATAAATATAATAAATAAAAAACATATAATATATATTTTTAAAAATATATTAAAAATATATAATAACATTGAAAAATAGAAACATTTTAAAAATAAAAATAAATAAATAACAGCTAAAAAAAATGATAAAAAAAAATAAAATAATACAAACAAAAAAAAAATTTAGAAAATTAACTACCGTGGTAATATAACCCAACAGGTTAAAGTAGTTTTACAGTGTTTCAGCAGACATGTAGGTGAGCTGGTGTGCTTGAGCTGCAGACCATGTAGCTCTGCGATTCCTAGAGGAAGTAAAAGCATGAAGGGATTATTTTAATGGATAGAATGTGTAACTTTCACAAGTAGAAAAGAGTTTTTAGGGGTTTAACCAGTGGACACACAGAGGGACTTTTATTTTTAAGTGTTTTTCTTTTTACATGCAGTTTGAGTTCTGCTGCAGCTTTGGAGAATATTTTTGTTGTTCCTTTCAGATGTGAGTTATGTAAAAAGCCGTTCACCTTGAGCCCACAGACCGCAGCGCGCCTCTCTTTTCCCTCCCATTAGCTCCGGCGGGCGGAGTGACATCACTGGAGCCGAGCAGGGAGGGCGGCTCCGGGCAGCAGGTGAGCGCAGCATCGGAGAGACGCAGAGCGGCGGCGGAGCGGTGCGGAGCGGAGCGGAGCCATGGGCAAGCTGCAAGAATTTGATATCACTTTCACCAACAACAAGGTGGTCTACGGTCCGGGGGAGTCTATAAGCGGGACTGTGAAAATCCGAACCGGGAACTCGCTGCAGTACAAAGGTAAAGGCTGTAATTTAACACTGTTTCAGGGAGAGAGCAGGAAAACCAGATGATTTGTGTTGCCAGCGTGTTTCCACCGACAGGCTGCGTGTAAATAAACTTTTCCTCCGTGATGGTGGACGTGAGGAAAGAGGAAATCAGGCAGCTTTGTGGCTCTTCCTCAGCGGATCGCTCACGCTGTTGGGGGATTTTTGTGTTGTTGTTGTTGCTGGGAGTGGACGGAGCGGTTCCACCCTCCACATGTAGCCGAGCAGCAGCAGCCGCCCCGGGCTACGTTGTTGTGCCGTCTGGTCGGTTGTGTTGGCCGTTCACAGCTCACATCCTGAGCCACATCCTGCCAGTTACACCGTGTTGCTTCCTTCTATTGTTTTAGATGTACCCGAGAAACTGTGCTTCGAGAGTGGCATCCGAAAAGGCAGAACAACAGGTGTTTTTGTGTTTTAATGGAAAAACCTACTTTATCCACACAGGGGCACACTGCACTGTTCATGTCATGTATACAGGGTTAATATGTCCCCCACACTGTAAAAATAATCTGTACTTTTACAGAAAATGTGTTATTATTTGTTCAAAACTATTAACAAGCTGATTTTATGTTGAGCTAATAATGTTATGCTCAACATTAGCTTCTGTAGCTTGAAATACAACTTGAATACACAAGTTAAATTTAAAAAAAGTATTATATTACATGCTTAAAAATAATAGGCCAAAACGATAAATAATGTCCACAAAAAAAATCTGCACTTTTATATTGAAAAATTGTCATTGTTATCTGTCTGAAAGTCTAACTAGCTGATTTTATGCTATGCTAATACTGTCATGCTATATTAGCTTGCTATCTGTCTCACTTGCTAGCTTTATGTTTTTTTTTTTTATCTCTACATTAGCTAGCTAGAGTGCGAGCTAGTACACTCGTAAAATCACGAAAAAAAAAAGTATTAATTTACAGACCAACAAACCAAATGTATTATTATGTGTCCAAAAGCAAACTAGCTTACTTTATGTTATGCTAATTTCGTCATGCTATTTTAGCCTACTCTCTGTCTCACTGGCTGGCTTAAGTCATGCTATGTTAGCGAGCTAGAGCGCTAGCTAATACACAAGTAAAATCACAGAAAAAACATTTACTTTCAGGCAAAAAATGTTTCTCTACTATCTATGTAAAAGTCTAACTAACTAATTTTATGTTAAGCTAATAATGTTATGCTATATGATAGCTTCTGTGGCACTAGCTTGAATTGTTGTTGTGCTAAATTACTGATAATACACAAATAAAGTCATAGTAAAAAGTATTTACGTGGTAAAAACATACCACATCACAATCCTGTATTTTTACAAAAAAATATATAACTGACTTACTTTATGTAAATGTAGCATTATTATGCTATATTAGCTTGTTGTAGCTCTAGCTAGCTAGCTTAAAATGTTCTTGTTTTGACAAATTACAGTCTGACGAGCTGACTTTATGTTAGGCTAATATGTTGTACTTTCTGTTAGCTTCTGTTGCACTAGCTTGAAATCTTATTTTGTTAAATTATTGACAATACGCACGTAAAATCACAGAAAAAAGTACTCGAAAGATAGACGTAAACTCTAACTAATACATAGTCCGCATCGAAAATATGTACTTTTCCAAAAAGCATATTATTCTCTGTCTAGAAGTCTAACTAACTGACCATATGCTATGCTAATAATGCTATGATATATTAGCTTGCTATAGCACTAGGCTAGCTTGAGTTCTATGTTAAATTCCAGATAATATACAAATATAATAACAAAAAAGGATTAATTCACATGAGAAAAACATTGTAAATAATGTCCACATTAAAAATCTGTATTTTTACAAACAGTAAATTGTTGTTTTACAATATATGACTGTAAAATGACACTATTTTTTTCTTGTATTTACACCAGCAAAAGTATATTGTTTCACAGGTATTAGCAATCATTAAATGACTGCTTCAAGGCACTTATGGTGAAATGCTAAACTGTATTTCTTAGCATTTGTAGTCATGCCAGTAAAAATGCTTCTAATATATGTCTTAAGGAAAGACTTCCAATCACTGGAAGTGACAGAGTTAGATAAACCTGTTGTAATGTGTGTTAATAACGGGGGTAAAGCAGTTTAACAAGGTGGAGCGCGGCCCTCTGAGTCACCATGGAAGTACACAAAGGATCCATTGTGTGTGAGTGATCCTTGAGGGGATTCTTCTCTGATAATAAAGGGCTGCTATCATATGTAACTGAAGCACTTCTTCAATGGAAGCCTGGCACAGGGCTGTGTTAATAGACAGGGACAGTAAATACAGAAGGCCTCTGTGAAGTGAAGTGAAGGCACGGTGACGTTTGGAAGGAATTTGTGCCAAACACAGAGCAGCATGTGTAGGTGAGTGAATGTACAAGACCGCTATGGCAATCATTTACACTGGGTTCTACAGGTTTGTGTACAATAATAGGAAACAAAAGACACATTTCTTTTTGCATTTAAGGAAATCAAACACTTGCTTTCTTTCCTGAGTCAAATTTAAAACACTTTTTCCTAAATTTCACCTTCTTTTTTTAAATGAATGCAGAAATGTTGTGAAGTTATTTGGCCGCATCTTCACCCACGTGTCCGACATGGTGAGATTAATTTACCATAATGCACCGGCTGACCTGAAGCAGATGGCGTTACAGCAGAGGTCAGAGCTCCTGCTGAGCTCACTGTAAAACGTCACGAGCTCGTCTGGAGCCGTGTTCCCAAATGAAACCCTGCACTGGTGGCTGCTGTGGCGAATGTGGGCCGTCCTCGGAGCAACGGAGACAATCGGAGAGCTTCCACGAGTCAAGCCAACAGCTGAATGAAAGTATTTGATCCAGGAGGAGCGTGCAGAGAGATTTCGATGCCATTTAGGCTGCGGATCGACTGCGAGCGCATTGTGCTCTCCTGTCTGTCCATCCAGTTTCATTTCTCTGTAATCGCTCTGAAAATCACATTTCACGCCTGCAGCAGTCAGACCGCAGTGTGCTTTCACTTCTCTGCGCTCTGATGAGTCCCACAGTTGCTGAAAAGTCTGCATTTTTTTTCAACAGCAAAGTGGCTTTGAAACTGTGCGATAAGATAAAGTCGAATCAACGTTAAACAAGCTGCGAATCAAAACCTGATGTAAGGAGATTAAAACAATTCATTTCGGTTTACGGGGCGCTGCTCTGATGTGCACAGGATGAGACTTCTGCAATAAACACGGCTGTTAAATTCAAAGGTTTCCTGCATTGTTGGACCGGCAGCCTGATTCAAAGCAGAAAGACTTCCTGTTTTAGTAGTTTTTTATTCTGCTGTGCATTAATCTTATGACGTGTTCTCTTTGAAACTAAGCATACAGGCAGAAAACATTAGCGTCTAATCTAATGACACAGACAACACATCGCTGGTGCAGATTAAATTCTGCAGACACAACTTTCCATATACAGTAAGAAGCAACTAATGATCGTTTTCATTGTTAATTATTCTGTTACATTACTTCCAGAATAATTGAGCCACGGAAACGTCAGAAAATCGTGATTTTAACCCAAAGTTATTCAGTTAGACCTGAAAGTATTGACATTTAAGATGCTGCAACAGGAGCAGCTTTACTTTAAGATAAAAATT